CCCCCCCCCCTTTCTCCTCTGCCCCATACCAGAAGGGGGGCGTGTTCTGTAGCTGGGAAGGCTGATGACATTGCCTGAGATTTCAGTTCAGCTCACAGGAAGTGACAGGGCCCCGGCGTTCCTGGCGGGATCAGCCGGTATTTTCTGTACTTGCTGAAAATGTTCTCGGCCTGAAAAAAAAGAAAACGAATGGCTGTCATGGTGAGATAATGACCCATAAATCCGAGGTCATTGACTGGGAACAAATCAAGAACTTCACTGGCCGCATACTTGTTCCCGGTCAGAGAGTAATGAGGCCAGACAGGAAGTAATCAGCATTGGGAGGTCACCGAGTGCCGGAATAATCCTGCTGCAATATCAGTGAATAGTAACAATGAGATATAAAGTGTCAGCCATGACGGTATTATCTGCGTCACATGAGACATATTCACCGTGCTACACTATTTCATCACATGATTAGACCCCGCCCCCCCTAATCTCTGATTGGTGGTTGCTGCATTCAGTTCACCCACCGCAACAGAGCTCCCCCTGCTGGCTCATATCAGCTGGTGGCACTTGGAAGATCTCAGTGTCACGTCTGGAACATCTGCTGGAAGTTTGTCAATAATGACGCAAGTTCAGGGAGGGAGCAATTCACTGGCCGCATTGCACTCTGCTGGGACTGTAACTGGCCGCATTGCACTCTGCTGGGACTCTAACTGGCCGCATTGCACTCTGCTGGGACTCTGACCATAGTGCACTCTGCTGGGACTCTGACCATAGTGCACTCTGCTGGGACTGTAACTGGCCGCATTGCACTCTGCTGGGACTCTAACCATTGTGCACTCTGCTGGGACTCTAACCATAGTGCACTCTGCTGGGACTGTAACTGGCCACATTGCACTCTGCTGGGACTGTAACTGGCCGCATTGCACTCTGCTGGGACTCAACTCACCATAGTGCACTCTGCTGGGACTCTAACTGGCCGCATTGCACTCTGCTGGGACTCTAACTGGCCGCATTGCACTCTGCTGGGACTCTAACTAGCCGCATTGCACTCTGCTGGGACTCTAACTGGCCGCATTGCACTCTGCTGGGACTCTAACTGGCCGCATTGCACTCTGCTGGGACTCTAACTGGCCGCATTGCACTCTGCTGGGACTCTAACTGGCCGCATTGCACTCTGCTGGGACTCTAACTGGCCGCATTGCACTCTGCTGGGACTCTAACTGGCCGCATTGCACTCTGCTGGGACTCTAACTGGCCGCATTGCACTCTGCTGGGACTCTAACTGGCCGCATTGCACTCTGCTGGGACTCTAACTAGCCGCATTGCACTCTGCTGGGACTCTAACTAGCCGCATTGCACTCTGCTGGGACTCTAACTGGCCGCATTGCACTCTGCTGGGACTCTAACTGGCCGCATTGCACTCTGCTGGGACTCTAACTAGCCGCATTGCACTCTGCTGGGACTCTAACTAGCCGCATTGCACTCTGCTGGGACTCTAACCATAGTGCACTCTGCTGGGACTGTAACTGGCCATAGCACCCTCCATGTTCTGTATCTTGGCGCGGCCCCTCCCCCCCAGTAAGGAGTCACCTCTACGTCTACGGTGGAGAGCCAATGACCCCCAGAGACCCTGAGAGCCCCCCCCCCTGCGCCTTCCCCAGCATGCCGTGCGGTCAGACACCCCTCGCGTCCCTCCCTATGGCACATTCACATTGGCATTACGACACTCAGAACAATCAAATATTCAATTCTTTTTTTTTTGCAACGTATGAAGATCACAGTATTGATATCCGCACGTCACCGCGGTGACGACATGAACGCCTCGTACAGGAGAAACGGTCAGAGTCATAAATACTTCAGTATTTACATCAGACGATACTTTGTACAACACGTGGTCATGTGACAGGAGAGGTCCCAGTCCACTC